ATTTTCTGAATTTCAGCATTAATATATGTTTCTTTACCAGGAAATCCAGATTAATATGGTCTGGAACAATTAAATGAATTTAAAGTTATTTCATTCATTTAGGGGAAAATGATGCCTATTATCTGTAGCAAAGACCATGCTGAATTATCTCTGAAAATAATCTTAATCCTCTACTTTCCCTTTTCCCCCGCTTTTTGCATTTTTTTTCTTCCCACAAAATAAGTCCTTGATAAAACCAAAGTTACTAAAGATTAAGCGAGGAATTAAAAGATACCAAGATTGTCTTTAAGGTCCTGTCTCAATGTTTCTTAAAATTTGAATATATTTTCCACAGCATTGCATTTTGGCTGTCTTAGGCAGAAGCAAGCATATGAGTTTGTGAGTCAATTCTCAGTAACTATTTGTCTTCTAAATTTGTACAAAATAGTAGGTCAATAATACCTAATCCTATTTGAGGCATCACATTTCAGCTTGGGACCACAGAGCTTCTCCTATCAGCTATGGGTAAGAAGTTGTATTTCTAAGAGATTATGGCAAAGGGAAACCTCCAGGCCAGCATGCAGAAAGGCCCAAAATGGGACTTAGCAGAAAGAATATTCTTAAAAAGAGATTTTCTCAAAAGTATCTATATTCAGTATAGTATATACATTGATGGAAGCTAATCCTCTATTGTGCTTCTGTGTTTCAAAATAAATTGACCAACTCTGTGCACTAGAAGGACACTAGCTTTAAGAAATTATTTGTAAGTGATAGAACTATGTATAATACATAAGCATTCTTAGGGACAAACTCCCATCTCCCTGGAGAGAAAAGAATTTAATCCTCTTTGTGATAAAACGCTGGGCACAATGGATGTATTGCTTCTGCAGCTTTCTGAGCTAAAAACGATGAAGTTACTTTACCTAAGATTTGCTTATGCATTGTAAATTGCACCAAACATTAAGGCAGTTGGTTCTCTAAGTATCAATAAAGCCTGGTCACACTGAATCTTTAGCATAATATAATTTTTCATAGCAGCAAGTTCCTATTCCTACTGAAACCCTAGCCCCAATGTAACATTGTTAGATTTAAGTTAAAATTAGAAACATTAATGTCAATATTATGATTAATTTAGGAAAGAGAAGCTAGTACTATGCAATACTGAAAACCAAGGAGACTGAGGGCTTGTAAAATTTAATGTAAAATTATTTACAGTGAGTTAAAAGGCTTTACTCTGGGAATTTTGGGGGACCCAAACTCCTCATTGTGGTGATTCAAATCAGATCTAGAACATTTCACATCTTTAAATTAAGACTTTGGTAGGCTGCCCTTCTAATTCAGTTCTAGGGACACCATGGTCAGTTACCTACGCCAAAGATACGTATTTATGTCAAATTATTCTGATTAATGCTTTGACTTTACTACCTTTTATGGCAGCCACATGAACCTGTCTTTGGCAACTGAGTGTTGCAACTTGGTCCCTCCCAGTCTGCCACTATCCCTGTTGGATTTAAGGAGCCCAGTTTGATGACAGCAGTTCCCTCTGTCTTTCCTGGCCTGCAAAGAACAGCCACCACAGAGCTTTGAGGATGCTGAGATTCCCCTCATGAATGTATGTTGCATAGTCTTGGTGAAAAGAGTGTCCTCTGGACCTTTCCAGGGGATATATTCTTAGAGGGTAGATGATCAAGTTTTATATGATAAATTCACTCTAGCATTCCAGTCTACCTAAGCCTTTGCATATCTCCTCTTCAGATTCTCCAACGTATTATCTGGGGACTCCTGGGGGGTTCTGAGAGGCTTGCTGTTTGTCCATAAACTCAAAACTCTTTTCATACTAATAAGACATTATTTGCCTTTTCCATTCTTACATGAGTACGCAGTGGAGGTTTTCAGAGGCTACATGATATGTGATGATAATATCTCTATGGTGGCTAATGGAATATGTGGTTGTGCATTCTTGTGTTTTAAATTTGGGGGCTGGAGAGTTCTCAAGAATTTCTAAGAGTGTAAAGGGATCCTGAGACTAAGAAGTGTGAGAACCAGTGCACTATAATATCTCAAGGAAGTTCTCATTTCACCTTTATTTAGTGTGAGCTACCTTTGATTTCATAGATTTTTCTCAATTATATTTTTAATTTTACTGATTTCTGCTGTAATATTTAGTTTTTCATCCCTTCTGTTTGCTTTAGTTCCCCCCCAGCCCCGGCTTCTTAAGGTAGAGCTTAAGTTACTGGTTTTATATCTTTCTTTTTTTAATATAGGCACTTAATGCTATACATTTTTCCTTAAGTACTGCTTTAGCTGTATTCTACAAATTTTGGAAATGTTTAATTTTAACTTTCACTTAGTTCAAAATAGTTAAGATAGTTAAAATAGACTTCCTCTTTGACCTCTTTACTTTAATGTTCTCATATCTTCCACAGTCCACAACTGTTGATTGAGTGGTGATGGAGAAAAAGTCCCTGGGGTCTAGTAGAGGGACATGTTGTAGACCATTAGCCATGATATTTAGCAAAGCTGTAAGCAGCCGACTAAATTGTCTGAAACATAAAAGTGGAAGCAAAATCTTTATTTGTTGATTGCAGTAAGGAGCATCTGTAATTTTCAAAGGCTACCTGAACTCAATGCCAAAGTGAAGATCAATGCTAGTTGTAGCCCTGAAGATTCAGCACAGTCCTATGGCTCCCTTCCTATAACAAATGTTTTATTTTGCCTCCCTTACTCTCTTAACATAGAATTCATAGATAATTTAACCTACCTACACTCACAAATTTAGGAGAATAAATATAATGTCCTAATTGTAATATAAAAAGGAATAGAAACAAAATAATATATAATGAACATGTATTTCAGCATGTAAATCCATGAGCACAATTACACTGGAAGATATAATGATGTCACCAGGGCCTTGTACGTAATCATAGGAACACCTTGAAAGGAATAGCTAATAGTGTAGGTTGTATTGTATTGATACACTGAGGAAGCATGATTGATGATGGTATAATTTTCTAAAATGATAACAATTCTTCGTTCAGTTTTGAATAAAAACCCACATTGTTTGCTTGATTATGTAGTACAAGATATATGTTCATTGCATAAAAGAATGCAAAAAAAATACTTTGTTTTTACATGTAAAATGGAATTAGATTCTAGGCCCATGTAATTAGTTATAAACAGGTTCTTACCTATACAAACCATGTGGGTTGTCATTTCATACTTAATTTTTGTAGTCTTGGTCCTTATGTTGTGGGATATCTGGCGTGTCTGATCCCTACCCATTAAATGCAACTAGTGTCCCTCCCAATCATTTTGACAACTCAAAACATCCCCACTAATCACCCACTAACTACTAACTAACTGACTTACTAACTGCCCACTAACTACTGAAGGAGTGATCCTGTCTCAAAACCATTGCTCTAGACGTTTTTCTTGTTGTTTAACTGTTACAATGTTGGTAGGATGAGTATACATACATCAATTACCTGTGTGTATGAAGCCCACAAATAGTAGCCTCCTCTTAACAGTTTTAACGGGCTAATTTTCTCTTTCTGGCTTTATCATAGGCTAGGAACTGACTATCTTTAGGTCTCTAGATATTGCACCCTCCTATGCAGCCAATTTCTGAAAAGTTCTGATAAAACCCCATCTCCTAGAAGTGTTTGTGAAAAGGGTTTATAGACTAATTAACTAATTAGTTAATAACTAATTATGAAATAAAACCTCAGGGTGGTAGACAGATTAATGACGCTGTAAAATGTCCAGAACCTAAGAATATGCTACCTTACTTGGCAAAATGGACTTTGCAGGTGTGCTAGAATTAGGGATTTGATTATTCTGGATTGTTTTGTTGGTCTCAATGTGATCACAAAGGTACTAATAAGTGAAAGAGGGAGGCAGGAATGTGAAGGATCCGAGTGAGAGATATTTGGAGATGCTCCACTGCTGGCTTGGATGATGGAAGAAGGGACCATGAACCAAGTAACACACGGTGGCCTCTAACAGCTGGAATAGGCAAGGAAGCCAGTTCTCCCCTGGAAATTCCAGAATAAGCACAGTCCTGCTCTCACCTTGATTTTAGCCCAGTAAGATCCATTTTGGACTTCTGACCTCTGGAATTGTAAGATAGTAATTTAGTGTTGTCATATACTCACTGATTCCATCTTAACCTCAGAGTCAAACAGCTACATCTATACCCACAGCTGCTTTAGTTGCTGAGTATAGTTTACCTTAATTGGACTTTCCCTGTTTGCTAGGATTCAGCACCAGTTCCAAACTGAACAGGCAAGCCAAATATAATGATAGTTGTGCTTGTCTTTTCCAAAGCAGATGCATCTAGGAACCAGGTCTCATTTCTTACAGTAGCCGAAACATTCAAGCATAATTTGAGCCAAGTGACATAGGCTTCTTTATAGGCAAACTTTTTAAACAACATTCAAATTAGCTTCATTAGGTCAGGGACTGTTTTATTTATTCTGTATCCTCAGTCTCTTGCCCAGTGCATAGTGTAGAACAGGTTTTGAATGAATGAATGAACGAATGAACAAATGAATGGCAAAGTGCTATTTCTAACTTCAGATAGCCAATCAGAGAATTACTTGCCTTCTAGTATTTCAGCACATCAAAATTATTTCTCTGAAATTATTTAATGTTCTTCTCTAGGTTTTAGAGGGAATAAATATAAAATTAATTAATTTGAACAATATGTTTTATTTCTAGTTTTAGATTTACTGGTCGGTCTCCTTACCTGATCTTCCTTTTCCTTTGACCCTCTGCTTTTCTCCGTTTTCCCTTTTTTCCTTGAAGAAATAACCCACTCTCAGGTTACAAACATTTTCTCTTTGTGGTTGATTTTAAGACACAAGTATTAACAGAAAAATTCCACTAATAGGGTATAACATTAAAAACTGAAATGAAATATTATAGTTGAGGGATGTTATAGACCAAGTGTTATGAAGTTTTTCCTGCTATACCAATTAGAACTTGTTTTTTCATTATAAAATATTCATTTTAGTTCTGCCTACCTCCAGTGTATTTGTAGTTTAGCTCAAAAAGGTCCATGTTCCCACATCACAAAAACACAGTGTAAATGAATTGACTCCCTCCTTCGTATAACAACTCTGGATGATTAATGAATTAGTCTATTAAACCTTGAACTGAAGAGGAACAGTAAATGGAGTAAATATTTTTGATCCATTAGGTACAATGTTAACTCTCAAGCAAGCCTCTTTGGTGAAGCTATATTTTCATGTCATGTTTTCAGTGTGTTATCTGACAAGAAGAAAAGTTCTCAGTAAGGTCGATGTACATAAGTATTAATAAGCACTGAAGTCCTAACAGCACTGGCTGTCAAACCTGTGTGTATTAATGCGAATTAATGAGCTTTTCTTCTCCTACGAGGAAAATAGGTTGTCGTAGGTTAAACAATGATGAGCAAAACAGAGGCGATGTCAGTCTGACAGAAAGCCTTCAGCTTAGAGGGGTGACCTTTAAAAGGGAATGCATAAATAATCTTAGCATAATCACTTGGTGCCATATTTTGGGTTTACAGTTTAGATAGAAGTAAAGCATATTTATTGATTTGATTTTTTAAAATTGTGCCCTTTGAGAAATCACCTCAGTACAGAATTAAAGCAAAAAGACAGTGATGACAACAAAATCTGAACAATTAAAGCAATCGTAGAATGAAATACTGGTTTGAAAAAGTCACTGTTTTAATGACATACTTTTGTGGAAAGTCATACATTTTCAACTCAGCTCCAAATTACATAGAACAGGTAGAAAGTAGTTGGTGTGGAGGATAAGACCATGGAGCTCTTAAACCAATATATTTTCATCTTTAGTAATTCCTAGTTCCAAGTTGATCCAAGCCTTTCGTTATTTAGAATCATGTAAAGAGGCCTCAGATTACATATTTTCTCCTATAATAAAGCAAAGATAACCCTTCAACCATTCAGACTGAGCGTTAGGTTTAGTACCTAAAAGAAAAGGAAGATGTTGTGCTCTGGACCAGAGGAAAGTGGAAGACTGGGTTTTCTGGTCTGAAACATATGGGAGAGGTCTATGTCTCACTTCCCTTCTGCAGGCTGATACATTTGTAAGAAAGCAAAAATAAAGTTTTTGTTCATTCTCCTTCTGGATTGTTGGCATGAAGCTGCCACTCAGGGTGGCTCTGTGTCAACATGGGAGGCAGTAGTGTAGCCATGGTTGATGAAGGTGGATGGAAAGACAAGTGTGAGGCAGCATTCCAGGTCTCCCCATCCAGCTCTATCTGAAAGGGAAATTGCTGGGAACTTGCTCTCAGTGGTTTGCTGCACTGGTGGGTGAGGCCAGACACTCAGTGGGAGTCACCCGCAGACTCCCTGCGAATGTCTGCCCATTGGGCCAGGTCTCATTGGGGGCTGAATCCTGGAGGGTGGGGTGAGATGGAGGGTGGAGTCTCACTAGAGCAGGACTAGGTAAAGCAAAGGTAATGGAATTTGTATTCTTCAGTCATAACAATTTGGCACACCCAGGATCTCACCCGCCATCTCTCAGTGGAGACCAGCACAAGGATGGCAGGCTCCATCGAAGGAAGAATCCCTTGAATTCTGTAATCTTTCCCATATACTC